CGCGAGGCTTTTGCCGAGCGAAATAATTCACATTCATCATTACCACCGCTACTGTTACTCCTACTACAATCGGCAAATTTGACAGATATATATATAATTCATCGGGCAGTATATATATTTTTAAAAACGATTAGGGCAAGGGTGTGTATTATTTAAAACATGTATCGATGTATCAGTTGAAGCCCGCATTTCCATATCGTTGCAGAGAGATATATATACACGGGGGGAGAGGATGGAAAGTCAATATCGCATCGAACTGCGGCTGATGCATCCGATCAAAGGACAGCTATCGAGCCGATTCAAACATTATCGTTGTACTCCGAAGTGGAAATGCTCGCTACAGACCCATTAATATTAATATCTGACAAATAGTTTGTCAAAGTGTTGCGAAACGCACTTCTGTTTACCAAGGACGTTGGGTATTGATGGATCGGACTCAACGGGTTCTTTGAGAGAGAGAGAGAAATAAAATAAATAACTTAAGTTCGGTTGAATAAATGATGATTATTATTCTTATATCTGTCATTGGTAATGTTGTCATTCTCTCGGTCCGCGAAAGCACCGTGCAGTGAGCATTGCACCACCGTATAGAGACACAAAAAAAGATCCCCCGTGTAGCCTCAACAGACTGTTGGGGCAAGTGCTGTTAGTGAGCACCTATGAAGGCCGGCACGGCACACGAAGGGGCGGGTGGCCAGCACCACGCCCGGCCGCCTTTGTCTCCCCAATGGCGATGTTTACACACCGCACCAGGTACTCATTTGAATGAATCTAGGAGAGTCCCATGACCGGTTCAGATAATCGTCACCGGTGTTGGCAGTGAGCGGGAATCGAACTCGGGTCGTCGGGTTCGTATCGCAGCGCGCTAACCGCTGCGCCACCGCTCCTCATACAGACGTGTACCCACACACGGACACACGGAACACACACACACACGGAACACGTGCACACACACACACGGAACACGCACACACACACACACGGAACACGTGAACACACACACAGAACACGTGAACACACACACACGGAACACGCACACACACAGAACACGTGAACACACACACACACGGAACACGCACACACAGAACACGTGAACACAAACACACACGGAACACGCACACACACACGCACGGAACACGCACACACACGCGCGGAACACGTGCACACACACGGACACACGGAACACGCACACACGCACGCACTGAGAGCGTAATATGCATCTCAGCTCTATTTACGCAGACAGCGTAACTGGTTAAGTGCGTCACGGGCAGGGCGTGTTGAACAATCATCGGTCGCGTGCAGCGTGGAACGAGTCAATGTGAATGGGGAGGAGCAAACGCGACACGACGGAGCGTGGTGGAGGTGGTTGGGGTAGTGAGGACTGGAGTTTGGAGAGAGATGGAGAAAGATGGAGAGACAGAGATTTAGAAATATCGAGCGAGCCCGTGAGACGTAAAGAAACAAATGCAGCAATTGATATGAAGAGAGTGGAGAGAGAAAGAAGCAGTGACAGAGAGGCATGGAGAGAAGCAGATACATCTCAAGCAAGACAGAGAGATTCGAGATTTGAAGCTTTCGTGACTGCAAGGATTCATACGCTTTGCTTTTTTTCGGTAAAGTCACGTGGGTAAAAAATAAAATAGATGAAAACAACTCAATTAAATCACGACCTTCTCGGAGGCAACACAAGCTTCCGTCTTCAGGTGGAACCGTTAGAGCCAAAATCACTGTAGTCGTGATTTAATTGAGTTGTTTTCATTTATTTTATTTTTTACCGACTTGACTTTACCGAAAAAAACAAAGACAGAGAGAGTTAGATCAATAGATATAAGCACAACGAGAGGCATACATAGAGACAAAATATTCCCCGTATAGCCTTGACAGACTGTAGGAGCAAGTGCTGTTAGCGAGCACCTATGAAGGCCGGAACGGTACACGAGGGGGTAGGTGGCCAGCACCACGCCCAACCGCCTTTGTCTCCCCAGTGGCGATGTTTACACACCGCACCAGGTACTCATTTGAGGCTGAGTCGACCTAGGGGAAGCCCAGGACCGGTTCAGATAATCGTCACCGGTGTTGGCCGTGAGCGGAAATCGAACCTGGGTCGCCAGGTTCGAAACGCAGTGCGCTAACCGCTACACCACCGCTCCCCATAGAGACACACACACACAGACAGACACAGCGACACACACACACAGACAGACACAGCGACACACACAGAAACAGATTCGAGAGACTTGGTAAGAGAGACACAAAAAGAGGGAAGACAAAGACAGACATTGACATACAGACACCTACAGAGAGACATACCAACACAAAGACGTCGCATTCACTGTGTCACGAAGAACATTTTTTTTGGAAACTGTTATTTACTAATTGCTTGTGCCTCGAATGTGCAGAAAAATCTAGATTTGAAGTTTTCGTGACTGCAAGGATCCATACTCTTTGGTTCTTTCGGTAAAGTCACGTAGGTAAAAAAAATGAAATAAAAATTAATAAAAAATTAAATAATAAAATCACTATTATTTTATTTTTATTCATTTTAATTTCCTTTTTTTTACCTACGTGACTTTACCGAAAGAACTAAGAGTATGTTGGAAGTGATGGTGGTGGTGGTGGAGGTGGTGGAGGTGGTGGTGGTGGTGGAGGTGGTTGTGGAAGTGATGGTGGTGGTGGTGGTGATGATGGACGTTTCGGAGGCATCAAGTGGGACAACCACAGCAAAAAGAAACATAATTACTGTAGTGGGCAGAGAGAGCTATTTGTGACAAGCGATTATATATATTTATTTTTTCACCTACATGACTTTACCGAAATAACCTAAGAGTATAGTGCAGAACATGGCTCTTATTCCCCACAAACTTTGCTTTTGTGACCAGGACAGTGATATTTTGAAATGTACCTGCTTCCAATAAGAAATCGTGTCCATTTGTGTCTTTCGTTCACATGAAGTCCTGGTCACAAAAGCAAAGTTTGTGGGGAATAATGTAATTTTCTGTACTTTTTCGGCATAAGTAATAAAAAAATAACACTTACTACCCAGGAGCAATTTTTCTTTTACAGGAACAAAAATTGTGTTCCATAGTGATGTAATCATAGAGACGACGATAGACAGGGAGAGCAAAACACACACACACACAGACAAGGACAGAGAGACACCGAGAGAAAATGAAAGTGAATAGTGGGGGTGAGAGTGAATAGTGAGAGAGAGAATATTGGGAGAGTGAACAGTGTGAGTGAATGGTGGGAGTGATAGTGAATATTGGAGGTGATAGTGAATATTGGAGGTGATAGTGAATAGGGAGAATGAATAGTGGGAGAGTGAATAGTGTGAGTGAATGGTGGGGGTGAGAGTAAATAGTGGGGGCGAGAGTGAATATTGGAGGTGATAGTGAATATTGGAGGTGATAGTGAATAGTGGGGATGGAAATGAATAGTGGGGATGAGAGTGAATAGTGAGGGTGGGGGTGAATAGTGGCAGTGAGAGTTAATAGTGGAAGTGAGCGTGAATAGTGGGCTGAATAGGGGAAAATTGAATGGTGAGGTTTGGAGTGAATAGCGAGGGTCGGAATAAATTGTCGGAGTAAGAGTGAATATTGGGAGTGAAAGTGAATAGTGAGAGTGAGATTAAATAGTGGGAGCGAGAGTGAATAGAGAGCGCGTGAGGGGGGGGTAGAAGAGAGGGGATGGGAGCGTTATCTCACAGAGCTGTCACCGTGAAAAGGGCAGTGTGAGCCTCACACACGCACACACACGTGTACACACACGTGTACACACACACACACGTGTGTGTGTGTGTGTACACGTGTGTGTACATGTGTGTGTGGGGAGCGGTAGTGTAGCGGTTAGCGCGCTGCACTACGAACCTGGCGACCCCGATTCGATTCCCGCTCACGGCAAACACCAGTGACGATTATCTGAACCGGTCCTGGGCCTCTCCTAGGTCGACTCAGCCTCAAATGAGTACCTGGCGCGGTGTGTAAACATCGCCACTAGGGAGACAAAGGCGGTCGGGCGTGGCGCTGGCCCACCCACCCCCTCGTGTGCCGTTCCGGCCTTCATAGGTGCTCGCTAACAGCACTTGCCCCTACAGTCTGTTAAGGCTATACGGGGGATCTTTGTACACGTGTGTGAGTCGACACTCACAGGCTCGCTCTCACCCCCAAGCTCGCCCACACCCCCACACAGCCCCCCCCCCCCGCACCGCGTGACATTTGCCCAAGGCGCCTCCTCGCGCCGCGAAGGCTTTCGCGGGTGACTGCCGCCGTCCAAATGCCGCCACGGCCACAGCGAAGGCACGATCCTCGTTTTAATATTTCACGTGGCATTAGCAAATAGCACAGCCCCATCTCCAACCCCTCAATTCCCCCCCGCCCGTTCCGTCCAAGCCATCCTCGCTCCCATCCTTCCCCCACCCAAGATCGACCCCCACCCCCCATATAACCACCCTCTCCCCCCATACCCACCGCTATCCCTCCCCACCCCTCCCCACCCCTCCCCACCCCTCCCCACCCCACCCCTCCCATCGTGTAGCACCAACCCTCACCGTGACCCGTACGGGACAAGCCAATGAGAGTACAGCTACAGCTGTGACCCGAACCCTGACCCACGCTGGAGTCAGACGGCGCAACGCGGATGATCGTGGTGATCGTGGTGGTGATGGTGGTGGTGATGATCGTGGTGATGATCGTGGTGATGGTGGTGGTGATGGTGGTGATGGTGGTGATGGTGGTGGTGGTGATGGTGGTGATGGTGGTGGTGGTGATGGTGGTTGTGATGGTGGTGATGGTGGTGGTGATGATCGTGGTGATGATCGTGGTGGTGGTGGTAGTGATGATCGTGATGATGGTGGTGATGATGACGACGGCGGTGCTGCTGCTGCGTTAGCGGTGATGCACACACAAACAAAGAACACTGTGTCCTTAAAATGTATATATAAAATATACGACGTTTCGGAGAATCGACCTTCGTTTCTCGAGGACGAAACCTACCGCTTCACCATGCGGGCGGGGAGCGGTGGCGCAGTGATTAGCGCGCTGCGCTCCGAACACGGCGACCCGAGTTCGATTCCCGCTTTCAGACCAACATCGGCGAGGAACCAGTCAGTCACCTGTGCCTCCCCTAGGTCGACTCAGCCTCAAATGATCACCTGGTGCGATGTGTAAACATCAGCACTGCGGAAACAAAGGCGGTGGGGAGTGGTGCTGGCTACTCGCTAACAGCACTTGCCCCAACAGTCTTGTCAAGACTATACGGGGGATCTTTGTCTTTGTTTGTCTATACATGGTGCTTTTAAAAAATGTGAACACTTCTGAGAATGTTGCAACAACACCACCACGACAAAATGTGCTGCCTCCAGACTCTGGAGACCACCTGGAGAAGATTCCAGGCACGCGTTGACAACGATGGCGAACAGGTGGGAGACTCTTTGACTTTGTGAAGCTATTAACTAATCATTTGTCATCATGCTACGGCGTATTATTGTCCGTTGTTTTTCCATTAAAAACGATAGTCCCATATGAGTGTTAACATTTTTTGAAGCAACCTGTATATGGTGTGTGGGCAATGCCACATCAAATGATGTTGGCCTTGGCCGGTGATCGAATGGAATTCGATTCGCGGCCACGGTTAGTTGCACAGTGTAAAGTGCCGTTGTTCTCACCGCCGCTGATGATAACGCGGAGATTTTTTTAATTTAAAAGAATTTCTTTAAGATTTTCCCAGCTTGTTTTGTTCGATTTTGTTTTATGACTCACGTAAAGAGATCTCTATGTTGCGCTTGTCTGATACGCGGACCCCGCGTCTCAACGTCGCCAGATAATCGAGAAGACACCGGCTCTTAGCACGAGTCCCCTGTCGAAACGACCACGCTGTCGCGTGCGCGAAGATGCGCGTTGGGAGGATTTGGCCCGCTTGCTGTACCATTTGCACACGACTGTTAAGCCAACTTCGTTGAGCCTATCACTTGAGATAGCCAAGTCGCTGCTTTAAATAAAAAAAATGATGCGTATCTCCGTGGGCATTACCCTGGTAAAATATATATTTTTATAAAAAGTTGTTTATTTTGGTTTACATTCCTTACACGTTGGCTCATTCGTTCACGGACGTGCGCGTGCCTTCGGCTCACTCATCCGTCTGCTGACCGTGGTGTACCACGAGTGTGGGCACGTGGTGTACCACGAGTGTGGGCACGTGGTGTACCACGAGTGTGGACACGTGGTATACCACGAGTCTGGGCACGTGGTGTACCACGAGTGCGGGCACGTGGTGTACCACGAGTGCGGGCACGTGGTGCACCACGAGTGCGGGCACGTGGTGCACCACGAGTGCGGGCACGTGGTGCACCACGAGTGCGGGCACGTGGTGCACCACGAGTGCGGGCACGTGGTGCACCACGAGTGCGGGCACGTGGTGCACCACGAGTGCGGGCACGTGGTGCACCACGAGTGCGGGCACGTGGTGCACCACGAGTGCGGGCACGTGGTGCACCACGAGTGCGGGCACGTGGTGCACCACGAGTGCGGGCACGTGGTGCACCACGAGTGCGGGCACGTGGTGCACCACGAGTGCGGGCACGTGGTGCACCACGAGTGTGGGCACGTGGTGTACCACGAGTGTGGGCACGTGGCGTACCACGAGTGTGGGCACGTGGTGTACCACGAGTGTGAGCACGTGGTGTACCACGAGTGTGGACACGTGGTGTACCACGAGTGTGGACACGTGGTGTACCACGAGTGTGGACACGTGGTGTACCACGAGTGTGGGCACGTGGCGTACCACGAGTGTGAGCACGTGGTGTATCACGAGTGCGAGCACGTGGTGTACCACGAGTGTGGGCACGTGGTGTACCACTAGTGTGGGCACGTGGTGTACCACTAGTGTGAGCACGTGGTGTACCACGAGTGCGGGCACGTGGTGTACCACGAGTGCGGGCACGTGGTGTACCACGAGTGCGGGCACGTGGTGTACCACGAGTGCGGGCACGTGGTGTACCACGAGTGTGGACATGTGGTGTACCACTAGTGTGGGCACGTGGTGTACCACGAGTGTGGACACGTGGTGTACCACGAGTGCGGGCACGTGGTTTACCACGAGTGTGGACACGTGGTGTACCACGAGTGTGAGCACGTGGTGTACCACGAGTGTGGGCACGTGGTGTACCACGAGTGTGAGCACGTGGTGTACCACGAGTGTGGGCACGTGGTGTACCACGAGTGTGGGCACGTGGTATACCACGAGTGTGGGCACGTGGCGTACCACGAGTGCGGGCACGTGGTGTACCACGAGTGCGGGCACGTGGTATACCACGAGTGCGGGCACGTGGTGTACCACGAGTGCGGGCACGTGGTGTACCACGAGTGTGGGCACGTGGTGTACCACGAGTGTGGGCACGTGGTGTACCACGATTGTGGGCACGTGGTGTACCACGAGTGCGGGCACGTGGGTGGAGGTGGTTATTGGGGGGTGGTTATGGGGGGCTATTTGCTAATGCCACGTGAAATATGAAAACGAGGATCGGGCCTCGCTGCGGCCGTGGCGGCATTTGGAGAGCGGCAGTGTATGCACGTGTACACACAGTCGTTGTACACGCATGTGCAGCCCCTGTTATGCCATGGTCCAGTTATCCACCGGCGTGTAATGTCAGCCACTCGCCCATCCACTCACTCACCCACCCATACATATATATACATTCATGCTCACCAAATTAATTGACCCATCCATCCACTCACACACTCACTCAACCATCACACACACACACACATCCAAACAATAATTATATCCCCAACCCAGGAGCGTCCATAGGGGGATACGAGGCAAATCAGACTGTGTGCCCCCCCCCCCAAAGCGCGGGGCCCGGGCGGTCGACCCGATTATCCGTTGCCTATGGACGGCTCTGCCCCTACTCATTCACCGACCTTTCCATCCATCCACCTACTTCTTCCAAAAACCCACTCATCCGTAAGTTCAACCACTCACCAATTCACCGCATCCATCCACTCACCCACCTACTCATTAATTCACCCATCCATCCCACCTATACACCCACCTACCCACATACTCAGCCAACCACCTGTTCACTCTCTCATCCCTGTGCGCCCACACTCATTATCCCTACCACTCACACACGAACTCACTCACCCAACCAATAACTCACCAAAGCACTCACGAACCCCAGCCACTCACCCGCCCATCCACATATCTATCTACCCACTCACTCATCTACTCACTCACCCATCCATTATTCTATTCACCTAACTCACCCATGCACCAATCTGCTCACTCATCCTAAAAGCTCACCCAACCCACCCAACCCACTCACTCACCCACTCACCCGCCCATTCACTCCTCTGCCCACCCACTCAACCATCCCCTCACCGACCCGTTCAACCACTCACACATCCACCAATCCGCTCACCCATCCGCGTACCCACTCACCCGCCCATCCCCACCCACTCACCCACGGCGTGTGAATGCGCGCAGTTGCCATGACCACCGGCTCTTGGCTCAGTCTAATTGGGGACAACTACCGCTAATTGGTCGTGGGTCACCCTGCTGGGAGCGAGAGGGAATCGTCCCCACCCCCAACCGCCCCCGCCCCCCTCCACCCCCACCCCCTATACCCCAACCCCCTACCCCCATACCCCCACCCTCCACCCCATACCCCCACCCTCATTATAATTTCAATGATTGGTTTTCTCACTCGCTCTGCACAATACAAGGCCATCTGAGTTCAATTCCTGGCACACAGCGAATATCATATAAATGCCCACATACATACACGGACAAAGATCCCCCGTATAGCCTATGTTAACAAACTGTGAAGTGCTTTTAGCGAGTTGCACGGTGGGGTGGGTGGCCAGAACCACGCTCGACCGCCTTTGTCTCCCCTAGTGACGATGGTTACACGCGGCACCAGGTACTCATTTGCGGCTGAGTCCAACTAGAGGTAGCCCAGGACCGGTTCAGATATTCCTCATGACCGCTCACACACACACACAAACAAACACTTCCCCCGGCTCTTATCAGTGGCGAGTGACATCGGAACCGGTCCTAAGTCCTTCCCTAGGTCGGCTCAGTCTGAAATCAGTACAATGATGACAAAGGCGGATCAACCCTCATTGACCAGAGTGGTGAAGTATGGTCAAACAAACCCCAGGGCTGACACGGCGCGGGGTGGGGAAGGGCCACACCGGATTCTTATTTAAGACTGAGTCGACCTAGGAGAGACCCAAATACCCGTTCAAAAATTATAATTGGTCACGAGCAGGGAGGCCTTCAATATGTCAGTGGATTGACATCAAAAGCCTGCGAATGAATGCGATTTTTGTTTGAATCTATATTTAATTATTGTTATTATTCCTGCATAATTGTTTTAATTGTCCACTCCACTGGGGAAATGTCAGCTGTGGGCGAGGGGAGGGATGGGGGCTGATAGGGGGAAGGGGAGCGGGGGGGCAAAGAGGGAAGGGCCTGGTTCCGAGTCAAGCGAAACAATGCATAAATTAACCATCCTCAGCCATGGTCAATCCACTGCTGGATGAAAACCCCCTCCGCAAAATTGCCTGCGAGGTATCGACCCATTGCATCCATCCATCCAGCACCTGCATGTATGTGTAATGTGAGGTTACACCTGGGAGATAGTGATTGGCTCTGCCAGCCTCAGCCCGCAGCCAATGGGGAGTCGAGCCAGGGGCGTGGCCCTGGAGCTGGACAGTATCTTCGAGAAAGTTCCAGGGGTGTGGCCGAGGATTGGCTACGTGGTATCACGTGGGCCAGGGATTATAAGGGGTGGAGAAAGACAGCACGTGGTCAGCGTGCAGAGGAACGAAGGGGGAAGCCACGTGGCTGGTGCCGTGGTCCCGCTCCAGCCACGTGGCAGTCTCTCTCACGCTGTCAAGCCAGCAGCGTGAGGTGGCGGAGAGGGAGGCAAGGGAACCGAGTGTGTGAATGCGGTGGAAGGCTGTGAACGGGAGAAACGAATAAACAACTCTGAAGTCAAGACGTCATCTGAACAGGATTTGTTACATATGTGTAGTGAGTCATTCAGAGACGCTATTTAGGAGGCAACGTTAATTCTACACTTTACGCAACACCGTTACACACGGGACTAAATACACCTATTCTCGCTCTTATTATGCATAGAACCACCATACACCTATTTCTCTTGCATACGGGATAACTATAATCGAGTCAGAGCAGCCAACGTGCTGCCTGACCCACGATGTCGAAGAGCGGGACGAAGATGTAGACGCAGCCCTTGGGTTCCACTTCACCTGCAGACAGCCCGGATCTGTGCTCGGGGCTTCCCTTTTATCTCTCTCCCGGCGCGGCCTGGCTCCACCCTCGGCCGCACCCTACGTCCAGAATATTCCCGACGGTTCCAGGCTACACCGCACCTGTTCCCTCTCTGGCTCCGCCCTTAGCCACGCCTCTGACGGAAACTCTAGACGTTCTCAGCTACTCCCCCTCCCCGTGCCCTCTCGTTTACCTGTGGCCCACATTCCTCACCCCAGCCCATCACGTGCCTGGGTGACTCGTCCCCACATGGCCCCGACCACCAGCCGCCCCCCACCGCACTCTCCCGGTGGCCCCCTCTGTGGTGATTCCCTGCGGCGCTGGTGGAGGCGGCAATCCCCTACTCTGTCGCTAGGACTCTTAAGTCTTCCTTCTGCAAGCACCAGAGGTCGCAATCGGGTACCCGATACCCGTACCCTACCCAATACCCGGCTACCCGATACCCGGCTACCCGTACCCGTACCCTACCCGATACCCGTACCCTACCCGATACCCGGCTACCCGTACCCGATACCCGTACCCTACCCGATACCCGGCTACCCATACCCGATACCCGTACCCTACCCGATACCCGGCTACCCGTACCCAGCTGGGTACGGGTACCCGTTTACGACCCTGGTGCAGCCGGGTACGGGTAAGGAATCAAAACCCGTTTGCGAGCTCTGGCTAGCACCCAGTAACATGCCCCGAGTGGCCCACTGACTGGTACTGCACGGTGTGTTCGCCTCTGCGCCTGTTTAAACGCCACTTGGCGCTACGCATAACTACATATGTATTGGCCTGTATGTTGAGCTTCTTTCGCACCGTACGTAGCCACCCGTGCTGATCGGAGGTGCGGGTGGTGGGGTCAACAAGTTAAACACGAAAGGCGTTTTCAATCTAGCTGCACGTGACCTGACTTCCGTTGCTCCATCTACTCCTGGATCCAAAGGGCGTTCCGTTCCTTCGGCTGTATTCCCACTCCGGACATCGTCCGTTCTGGTATAAATAAGTAAATGAAATGCATATATATCGTATCTTATTTAATTGCTTAAATTCGTTTAGAAGCGTCACGTGGGACATCGGGCGCGTGCAGAGCGGACAGAGTTACATTTGTGTTTGAACGGGGAGGAGTGCAAATTGGTGAACGTGGAAATAAGGAGTGTACAGAAGATGACAGTGTTCTTGGTTCTTTCGGTAAAGTCACGTAGAAGGGAAATAATAAAATAATAAAAATTCAACATAATAAAATACAATTCTCACGACGTTTCGGCCACAACGCAAGCAGCCGTCCTCAGGTGAAGAACAGGTCTGTCGGGAAGACAGCGTCTGAATGAGTCTTTCCGACAGACCTGTTCCTCACCTGAGGACGGCTGCTTGCGTTGTGGCCGAAACGTCGTGAGAATTATTTTATTATGTTTTATTTTTATTATTTTATTACTTCTCTTCTACGTGACTTTACCAAAAGAACCAATAAGATGAATCCCTGCAGTCACGAAAGCTTTAAATCGAAAAGATGACAGTGGTTAAAATTAGATCAATTTGCGTGCTAATGAATGTATAATCTTGAGTAGAAGCTTTCGTGACTGCAGGATTTCATACGCTTAGGTTCTTTCGGTGAAGTCACGTAGATAGGAAACTAAATAAATAATAGATCACGACGTTTCGATCGCAACAACAAGCGATCGTCCTCATGTGAAAGAGAGAAACACGCCTTTGTGACGAGGCATTATAGAGGGGAAGAGGGGAGTAAAGGGGCGAAAGGGTGAAATTGCATATAATAATCTACGCATTGTTCTTGAAACTGATTGGTCCACACCAGAGACAGCTTTCTTTTGAGCCTCGTCTCAAACGGTGTTACACCAGAGGACGCCAAAAGGCGTACAGCACAAAAACAATGCATATATTATCAGAGTATTTTTTTGTTTGCATTCTCAACACAAGTATTGTGGTTAATGCAGACATGATTCCTCGTAAAAAAGGTTTCAGTTTTGTTGCCAGAAAAAAGGGGAAAAACTTATTCTTATATGAATGTGTCGTTAATCCCGTCACCATCCGACACAGCCCATTAGTAACGTTTGTACACAAATTATTGGGTGGTGGCGGATTTCATGACACATTTATATTTACGCGATCTCAACCAAAAACCAATATTCTTAAAATTGGTCGCGAAAAACCTACGTGTTAAATTGATGATGACAGTAATGATGATGGATTACCAGTTGGATGGCAATGATAAATTAATCAATGGTCATGTTTGGTTGATAGGCGATTATGGCTATAACTTAATCGTTATGTAATTTTCATTATAATCATCATGTCATAATTGAAATTACCATGTCATTATAATTTGGTTACTATAAA